TGAATCATGGAACACTACATCAGAAACAAATGAAGTACTATATGGTGACTAACGCCACATTAAAAAACAAACAAACAAACGCTTTCTGTGCTATTCAAGGTAATGTATGACTTACTCTTTAATGTCTCCATTATCATCACTCCAAAGTTTCCTTAGAGGAAAATAAAAAAAAAAAAAGACTTAAGATATTTTGACATCTTTGAAGGCCTCACCAGTTGGTAGGACTGCCCCATACAGGCTGACCAGTCAGAGGCAGCAAAAGGTCCAGAAGGAAGCATACCTTTCATATGAGAACCAATCAATCCAGAGCCCCTCCTTTGTTTGGCTCTTACAGTCCAGGAGAAAAGAGTCGTTGGCCTTAATCACCCAGAGCTCAATACCAAAGGAACAGATCCTGCCCTTCTAGCTCAGAACCTACCACCACCATCCAAACTAGACAATCCCAAGCTGTTTGCCTTGCCCTGCCTGGTATTTCCCACTGAAACACAATAAAGGCTCTCACCCTCACTCCTGCTTCTGCTTTCTGGCTCTGGTGCTTCCCCATGTGGCCCTGAGTGCATGCCTCTCATTTCTAGTAGAAATACGAGTAACAATAAATTTTTCTTCCAACGGCATGGACTTCTCCGCATTGTCACCCAGCCAACTTTAGAAATTAAGTCTTGGGCACAAATCAGAGCTATGTCCTCAACTGGTCTATCTACAGTGGTGGCTCATGAATTTCTTCAATAGCTTATGCTACGGCAATATTCTAATACTCAATATGCTAATATTCACCTAAAAGCAGATCCACTACTAAAAGCTACTTGATGGGATTCAGCAGACTTGGTAATTTTTTTTTAGCAGTTGAGCGGCCAAAGTTAAGGTGAAGTTAAGGTGAGGAGTTGCAAAGGTGGAAACACCTCCTATGAGTCAGAAGACAATGGCTCAGAACAAAGCATTAGCCCCAGTAGGGACGAGGTGATACTGGGCAACAGTCAGGATTCAATTTTTCCCATATGGCTGGCACAGCTGTCTACTCATTCAGATTTAGCTTCCTTGGTTTTTTAGTTTTGATGAACCACAGAATCAGTACAGGGTCTTCTCATTGGGGCAGAGCTACAGAAAAAGAGCTTTCTGCAAGCTGTGCCTGCTATTCATGCTGAGAACTGGAGATGGGGACCTCCCTACCCTATTCTGTGGGGGGTATTTAGGAAAAATAAAACCTCATGCCTTAAGCAAACAAAACTCACCCACATTTATTTTCCCTCCTAATGCTCTTTCTTCTTCATATCTATCACATTATCTTATAGATAACATCTAAATTTTAGAGTGGTATCTATCAAAGTAATTTAACATTAAAGGAGAAAGGAAGAAGAAACAGATGAGTACTTGCTAAAAGCAACTTAAAAATCATAATGACTTCTATGTAATACAGTTAGTCCAGGCAACAGACTATTTTGATTATAACAACTACTAATTTTCAAATAATTTTAGGACAAAGTGATACTCATAGTTCATGGTAATGCTACCATCTATAATTTTGTTCCCTTGATGATTCAAAAGTCCTATAGTAAGACTTGATATATGTTAATAATTGAGATACAACTTATGAAACAGTTTTGGTGCTTTTTGGTTCAGGAGGTAAGAGGGGTGATGTTTAAGAGAAGAAAGGACACCTTTGTGGTTATAAAAAGAGGACAGCACTCCAGAAGTTGGCACATGAATTGGTTATGAACCACTTACATGGTTGCATGGATAAATCTTAAAAATTTTTTAAAAAAGTTTTCTAACTTTCAATTTTGAAGATGAAGACACATAGGGAATGTGATACCCTAAAAATCTCATGAGCTTTCAAAATACTGCCGGTCAGGATATCAGTTGTATTCCAGAGACACAGGCAGGGATGGAATTATGAGTCAAGCCACTGAGGAGAGTGAAATGGAAAAACACCTAACAGAGTGTACAGAATGTACTTCAAGTAATATACTTAAAGACGAAAAATTACTCCCCCACACTGTTATTATCACTCTCTAAGTAGATTTTGTTTTTATTCTGATGTAACTAGACCATTAGGGTTGGAACATTTTCAGTAAAATTAAACTTGAATGTTCTGACACTGAATGAGACCTTATTTTCTGAGAAATGTTGGAAATGACATCTTCACGATAGAAAAGAGCTGTGGGGGCGGTAGGGGGATCTGTTCTACTGCTTTAGCTAAATTTGTAGCAAATCTGTAGCAAACTGGAGTTTAGGTTTCCTTAAGTTTGTAAAAGGAAGCTTCCCTCATAATATAACTTGAGATATTATTTCCCTGGTCCACCTTCCTGATAAAGAATGTCATCTAAGGGGCACCCGGGTGCCTCAGTCGTTAAGTGTCTGCCTTCGGTTCAGGTGACGATCTGGGGTCCTGGATTGAGTCCCATGTCAAGCTCCCTGCTCAGCGGGGAGTCTGCTTCTCCCTCTCCCTCCCTGAACCTTCCCCGTCCCCCGACTAGGGCCCTTTTGAGCGTGTGCTCTCTAATAAATAAATAAAATCTTCAAAAAAAAAAAGATGGGGCGCCTGGGTGGCTCAGTGGGTTAAAGCCTCTGCCTTCGGCTCAGGTCATGATCCCAGGGTCCTGGGATCGAGCCCCGCATCAGGCTCTCTGTTCAGCAGGGAGCCTGCTTCCTCCTCTCTGCCTGCCTCTCTGCCTGCTTGTGATCTCTGTCAAATAAAAAAAAAAAAAAATTTAAAAAAAAAAAAAGAAAAAGAAAACCATTTAAGTGCTCAGGAAGTGCCCATCAGCTGCTCTGTTCTAAGCAGAGGTGAGATGCTGGACAGAGCATGAAGCAGTCACAGTCCATTCCCTTGGGTGTCAAAAGACAAAGACAACAGAAACTTTTGTTCTATCTACATCATTACTGCCAAACAGGCTTTTACACAGGAACACTCAGAACAAGCTGACAACTCAGAAAGAGGCAGAGAGAATCAGGAAGATATAAGTTAGTGGTTCTGGTCAGAGACCTGGGCCAGTGATGACATCTCCAGAGTAAGGTTGAGAAAGCAACAGCATCTGATGCATACAGGACAAGCACTGGTACTCCGAGCGCAGAGACTTAAATTCAGGAAGGCTCCTGGGGAAACTGATCACACGGTGGTTATTTTACACACTCTCAGTTGGAAACAGCAATGATACGTTTTAAGGTAGGAAAGATTCTTCAGAAGAAAAAGAAAGAGAATGATCATGAACCATTTATTTCATGAACCATTCCCAAGAAAGGTCCTCTGGAATACTAGACACAGTTTTGCTTTCTTTTAGATGATCAGGCTAAGATACAATGCCTAAGAAGGTTGGATACTATCATGAACACATAAATCAATAAAATATTTTAGAAATCACTTGACCAAATTGCCTTTAAAACATATTCAAGATGAGATTTGAGATTCACAGCAAGTGAGGCACTAGAAACATCTGATTGGAAGTATTTTCACATTTTCTCTTTATGATTAAGTTACATAAGAGTAATATTTTCTCACTCCCATAATGAAACTGACCTTTAGCTACTGAAAACTCCTACAATTACAGTGAAACACGATCATAAGGTCTTTCTAATAAAATGCTTGATGGACTGATAAACAACCAACTTTTCACACTGTGAAATATATTTGTTAAAACTCAAATATCATACACCTTGAATGAATAAAGCAAAACTTACAGCTGTGATTTATTCCCTGGTCTGGTTCTCATCATCTTTCCGTTAAGAATATCCATATCATACACCAAGAAGCCAACTCAATGCACAAGCTGGTTAGGCCAGTGAGAACTATTCAGTATTTCAGGTTCAAATGTTTATCCCAATTAATACTACCAACTTGCATCAGAGGTTAAAGTTGTCATATATTGTTCTTTAATAGATAACACCAGGTCTGATCACTTCTAAAACTTCTTTTTAAAAGACACAAAGACAAGTTTTAGGTTGAGGATGGAGGAAAAATTTGCTGAATCTTTACATCCTATTCCTACCTCCCACTTGTTGCATATTGTCCTGGTGTTTTCCTGGAATAGATGCCCATTCCATAGCAGGTTTTCACATCTTCATATATGAGTGGATGGATGGTGAACTCAAATGACTGATGGGCCTAATTTCCAATGCAAATCCTAGTAGCAAGAGGACAATTTCCTAAATGCTTAGCACCCACCAAATTAATGAGACAGGGTTATGCTTTCAAGGAAATTTTTGCGCTAGTTTGGTTGTATGTTTGACACCCCAATGCACGTACAGTTTTAGCTAATTTTTGCTCACTCTTTCTTGAGTGTGTAGGGATATATATCTTCAGGTCAACTACACTGGTTCTCAGATTTTTCTCTATCCAAGGTATACCTTTGTGTATTCTGACGTTCATTTGATTACAACATGCAACGCACAGCATCTGAACTACCGCAGGACACAAAACGCAGTTCTATCTGGCAGCCACTACTTCTTGGGTGACGACTAATCTGGGCTCCTGCACAGGACCACAGTTTGATTCCTCAACTTCACAGACAACTTCACAACGACACACAAAGCCTAAGCGGATTTTCAGTTAGCCTGTGCTCTGAGAAATATGCTTCCAGATAAAAATGTGGTTTCCCCCTTCCTGTCTAGCCACCAAAGCATGCTGTTTCCATTTGGTGCAGCAAGACACCGTACCAGGGAGGGGGTCCTTTTTTCTTGCAAAACCTAAACCACTCGCCAACCACCTGTGGTGTTCCCTGCTGTTGGCGAACTATACCCTGAGCGAATGCTTCAGAGAGATTCTCTTAGGTTCTTTTCCAACCATGGGCTCCATTCAAACTTCAGGCTAACCTTGCACAGAGTCAGGTTCCACGAGGCACAGACTTTTAAGATTTGAGAAGGAGTCAATGTTTGTTAAGTGTTCCATTTTGTAACCCTATCAAAAAGCATTTTACAGAGCATGATGAATGCGACGCTACTCTCCATGCCTAGCGGCTCCTCACAAAAGTACAAGTGCTTCCAGAAACCTTGACAGAGAGAGATAATCAATTATTTCTCTCCCTGCTATTAACCAGCTCCTGCCGACTGTTCATCTTACGCGTGATGATGACTAATATGCGCCGAATGGCAAGCAGACGCTCTTTCAGGGAGATCATGCCAAGAATAGCCAGCTGAGCCTTGCGTTCCAGTGGTAACACTGCCAGGATCCACCAGGACCACGCAGGACCGCTAGGGTTACTCTGCAGAAGAAACGAAAGCAAAACGAAATTATCACCTAAAATACAAGTCTCCTCCCTCCCCAATACTGTCCTTTTGTTCCACCAACAAGGCAGGAGCCGGAATTAAATGCCACCTTACTTTAGGTCAATTTCCCATCCATTGAGCCCTTGACATAGAAAGTACTTTCCTGTTACACATTTTTAATGTGGAAGAACTCTCAAAATAAAGCACTTGCAAAGAGAAGCAACTTCCATGGGGAAATTCCACGAATTAATTGCTTCTGTTCTCTCAAAGCTCTAGTTGGGAGTATACACCACTCAGACAAGGGGACCATAATTTTTACTCTATTTCCAGTATTCTGTGTTATTGTTTCTTAATTTTTAAATACATCAGAGAAAATTCTATATTAGGAAGGCTAAAAATATGTGTACAAGTTTGATTATTATAATAAAATTTATAATAAAGCTTTTAGTAGCTATGTGATGAATGTGCAGACATAGATGAAAATCTACATATGAGTTATTGTTAATTATATATAGGGGAATCACCATGAATTAACTGTATAAGAATTATTATGCTAACTGATAGCATTTACTTCACATACCCAAGCACACATTTCTCGATCGAGCTCTAAGTAAAGCTGGTCAAACAGTTTTTCTCAGTAATTCTAGCATTAAGAGCCAAGATGTCCAGGCCTCCCCACTTCCTGTCCTGGCTTCTCCCCCAATCCTACCCCAAATGTATACAGACATATACAGAATCCCTACTGGGAACTGAGAGGGTGGATGCCAGTGTCAATTTATCTTAGGGGGAGGAAGATTCTACTGAAAGATCAGGATTATTACATTTGAGACAATTTTTGGCTTACAGGAGGATGCTCCTGAGTTTTGGAAAAGACATAGGTTGGGCCGGGGGAGAGAAATCCTCAAGAGATAGAAAAAGAACATAAAAATGGATGGGAGGGGCGCCTGGGTGGCTCAGTGGGTTAAAGCCTCTGGGACCAGGTCGTGGTCCCAGGGTCCTGGACCCACATCGGGCTCTCTGCTCAGCAGGGAGCCTGCTTCCTCCCCTCTCTCTCTCTGCCTGCCTCTCTGCCTACTTATGATCTCTATCCGTCAGGTAAATAAATAAAATCTTTAAAAAAAAAAATGGATGGGAAAGATACAAAGGACAGATACAAAGAACAGTTCGTCTTCCCCCAAACCTGCTGAGAGCTGGTCCTCCAGCCCTGTTCTCTCTGCAAGATAGGTGAGCACATACAGTGGAAGGAACTCCATACTCTCAGCCACAAGCCCAAGCCATCCCTGCCTGGCTCTGTCACTCAGAGGAGGGGGAGAGGATTCGTTTGCACTTAGAACTGCTTCACAGCCTGAAGCCAGGCATTGCTTGAAGAGCCAGGTTCCCAGAAAGCTCCACGCTTGTGGAGCACCAGAGAAAGAAGGCAGGAACACTTCTAATTTAACAAGAGTTAGATTTTCTCTTCATTTATTCAACACCTGTTTACCAGACACAAGGCAATCTTATGGGCAAAACACAGAGGGTTCAGCCAGGATACAAGGCTTACTACTCTCTAAATCGTAATGATCTAAACAGCTGACTTAAATGATTTAGCAGCTGATTTAAATGGGGGAGAAGAAATAAAACAGCTGGATTAAATAGTTGGAGAGAAAGAGAAGTACTAAAGCTGACAGCCAATCAGAATAAATTCTTTTTTGATAGAAAACAAATTACCTTTATGCAGTATTACTCAGAAAGCATTGACTGTTTTGCTTCAAAGGCACATGCTACTATACTAGGTGCTTCTTCATTCTATTGATAAATGAATTGGTTCGTAAGTGATCATGATGGAGTATATTGCATAGTACTGCCTAACTTTCCTTCAGAATAATATGTCTTAGCACATTACAGCAGCAAATAATAGCATTATAAAAGAAATAAGGAGACCATACCTGAGGCTCAGCTTCCCTGTCTGGCATTAACCCAAAATGGCTTAAAATTTGTTCTTTCATGTGATCCTGAAGTGAAGTAAACCAGGAAACCGACTGTTGATAAACTGAATCATGAAGGCTGGTAAGTTCTTCGTAGGCTGGACCTTCCACCTGATCAAGGGAAAAGGGCCACAAAATTTCAACAGTTCATTATTACACAGTGACATCTGCAGCAATTTGCTAAGTGGATTTGTGGTATTTATTTCTTAGATAACTGATTAGTGTTTATAAACCTATTATAGGCTCAACATACAAATCTGTACTTTTCTTATACAATGAAGATCTATCTGCCTTGTCTATCTATAACATCCTGATTTTTCCCTTAACAATATAAACATATCCCATGTTATGATGAGCAATTTTCAATGGCTACATGCAATCCTACATTGGAAAATTTACTCCACCATCCAGATAAGATATATTTAAAAATAACACAGCAATATAAATATTTAAGCAAAGGTGGGAAGGGGGGTTGTTTTATTTTTGTTGGTGGTGGTGAGAAAAGGGGCCACCATTCCCTCAGGACAGTCTCCTAGAAATAGAATTGCTAAGTCAAAGAATGAGACATTTAAAATATTGTATTCCATATCACCAAACTACATTCCAAAAGACATGTTACAGCAATCACACATTCCCTTCATATTAGCCTTACGCAGCAGTAGGCCCTGATGCTCTAGATTTACCATGCTTTGCTTCTGGGTGCCTACCTCACTGCCAAGTCATTCATTTTAAGTATGCCCCAGTCCTACTCAGAAACACCTAAGTGGGAAAAGCACTGGGCTGGGGACCAGGGAACCCAGGTGTGTTCTGGCTTCATTGCTCATTCTCTTAAGCCAGTCACACAGCCTCCTGAGGGTAGGGTTTTTTTTCATCTACAAAATGGGAATTCACCATTCAGGTCCTCTCTGGTTATAAAATACCACTATCTCTGAAAACTAGGATAAACTGAGGAATTAGATTATAATGCATACAACCATTCTCATTCTGATTTACACAAATAAAATATTCATATGTAGAAGGGGATTTTTTTTTTTTAAACCACAAAAATTATTTCATGTTGTCGCTATGTAAGTAACCATTTTTTTTTAAAGATTTTATTTATTTATTTGACAGAGAGAGATCACAAGCAGGCAGAGAGGCAGGCAGAGAGAGAGGAGGAAGCAGGCTCCCTGCTGAGCAGAGAGCCCGATGCGGGGCTCGATCCCAGGACCCTGAGATCATGACCTGAGCCGAAGGCAGCGGCTTAACCCACTGCACCACCCAGGCGCCCCGTAAGTAACCATTTTAAAAACATATACCACCAAAAATTGCCATTCACAACAACAATCAGCAAACCCTCTCAGATTTTATTACTGGGGCAGCAGAGGGACCCCGAGAACAATCACACTCAGTCACATCCTTTAAACCCCACTCCCCGGTCCTGTAATGTTAGGGTTGACTCATTGTGCTTGGCCCCTGCACTGAGAGGTCCTGTCCTCAGGATGACCAGAACCAGCACCAGGAAAAAGGACGGTGCTGGTGCTGAGGGTGTGGCTCTCCTCATGGGCCTTATGAATGTACATCACTGTCCCCAAAGTGACAGACTCTCACCTTCCATGTTTCTAAATGTGAACCAAAGAATTCAAAATAGGCATAGAATAATTCCAAGGATTTCCTCTTTCTAGATGGTTGTAATGCTTTTTCTTGCAGGATAATTTACATACAGAAAAATGCGTTGTTCTTAATGGTTGGCTCAGAGTACTGTCAGCTGTACGCACCAGTGGGATCACAATCCTCAAAGGACAGGGGACATTTCCATCACCCTCAATGGTCCTCCACCCCCAGCCAGTCTCTGCCCTCTAACACCAGAGACAAGTGATGCCTCATCTTGGAAGTATATAAATGACCCACACAGCATGTGTGGTTGTGTGTCTGGCTTCCCTGGCTTAGCGTCACACTGAGAGTCGTGTTCGTTGAGAGACCTAGGAGATTCTTTCACATTGTTCTGTGTGTGGTCAGTTCCTTGGTTTTTATCGCCAAGTAGTTTTCCATTATAGAAATGGACTACAGTTTGTTTATCCATTCTTCTCCTGATGAGTCTCTGCACTATTTCTTAGTTTTGGCCATAAATGATAAGATGGCTAGGGACATCTTTTTACCCATCTTTCTGAGAATCCCTTCAAAACATTTTGTTAATCTGTCAAAATTTGGGTTCTGATATTTCTATTAGACATACTAATATTTCTCAAGGGGTAAGAGATCTAAACCTTTTACACTGAACTTTAGAAGGCATTTTTAAGCATTGTTTTTTATATCATATCTCATTCTGAACTAACACCAGGATCCAGAACAAGGATGGACTACTACTCACAAGTCAAATCCCGTTCACTGCGTATGTCTATGTAAACAGCGTTGTCTTGGAAACCAGTGACACCAACTCATTTCCAGACTGTCTACAGCTGCTTCTGTGCTGCAACGGCAGAGCTGAGTCGTTGCCACAGAGACTGCTTGACCTGGAAGGTCTCTGGTATTGACTGTATGGGCCTCTGTGGGAAAGGTCTGCCAACTCCTGAGCCAGAACACCGAGACAACAAACCACAAAGGCATTTCACAATGTGCAGCAGTAAGGTAATTTTTCTGAGGAGGACACGTGTCCACCAGCTCCAAATCAGGTGAAAAATCCACTGAGGTAATAAATAACTGAAGTGCTGCTGAATTAGGGAAGGTATAAGTAATATTATCTGTAAAAATCTGACCAAGTTTTTCCACATGCACAGGAAAACAAGGTGACTGACATCTGAACACACAGCTGTTAAAGCAACCTCACCTTTTCATCTTCAAGATACTCGATGTCGGCTGTGTTATAGCCATCTCTGTGACGGTGGCTTAGAACTCTGAACCGACTAATCCCAATGGCATCCACAACCGAACTCCCATCAGGAAATGTTCTGACATCCTTAATCTCTAGCATGCAGCCGTACTCCGAAATTCTGACAGGACAGTTGAGAGAAATAACCATGATTTTATAAACGCAGAAGATCCAAACAAAACAAATGGTGTCTCCACATGGGACCAGCAAGCTTATTTTCTCTAAGAGACACCTGCAGACGATTCCTTCTGTTAAATGCAAAACATACGGGTGTACAAGGGCTGCATGGGGATGGCTGGAGGGAAAAGGGCCCTTGTGCCACCGTCTTTCAAACAGGCTAGTGCTTTGGAAGGACCCGAGAGGTAGAGAGAGAATCCTCATGCCCTTGGTCAGGGCACTGTCAAGGGGTACAGAGAGCACAAGTTATGTCTGGGGGCCCCCATGTCCCTCACAGATTCTGCTCCCTCTCCCCCCCCCCTTTTCCAATGATGCTGGCCAGCCCTGTCCTCCCCAACAAACCACTATGCAAAGTCATCTTCAGTCACTGCCTTCATCTCCTGCTCCCTCCATACCCCTCCATTCCACTGAAATGACCCCACTGGAAGTCACACATGACTCTGGCATGAGCCTGCTGATCTGTCACTGACCCAACACCCTCTGCTGCTCTCTGGTGCCCTCCCTGACCAGTGCAGCCCTTCACAGCTTTCCTCCGTCCTCCACATGTCTCTCACTCACAGGGCCCGCTCAGGGTGGCATCCTCACTCCAAAGCTGTCCCGTGTAATCTTAACCACTCTCACTCTTTTAACTCTCACTCTAACTTCCTGAGGACACTAATTGAACCCGCTTCCTGTCAAGCACTATATGGAGCAGTTTATAATATGTTCTCATTTGAGCCTCACAAAAGCAGGAAGGTTAAAACCAAACAACGTACATAAGGCCACAGTAAGATTTAGACCTGAGATCTGAACCCAACGCTATGTGATTCGAAATTACATGAACAACTTCATCACATACCTTCAAGCTAACGATGAGTGATGAGTCCAGCTATACGGCTGGACACCTCTTCTTGGATCTCTCCTAAAACTATCTCCTCCTGCTTATCTAACGGGCTGTGGCATGGATGGAGGTGCCCTGAAGATCCCCTTCAAGGGAGTACTTCCCAGCCATCAGCAGACAAATGCCTTCAAATGTCAGCTCCTTCAAAGCCTAGCTCAGCTGCAGAACCTGTCTTTCTTTCTTTTTTTTTTTTTTTTTTAAGATTTTATTTATTTATTTGACAGAGAGAGATCACAAGTAGACAGAGAGACAAGCAGAGAGAGGGAGGGAAGCAGGTTCCCCGCCAAGCAGAGAGCCCGATGCGGAACTCGATCCCAGGACCCTGAGATCATGACCTGAGCCGAAGGCAGCGGCTTAACCCACTGAGCCACCCAGGTGCCCCAGCACCTGTCTTTCTAATGAGCATCCTGTCCTGTCTGTAGATAAGAACTTGTGAATGAATGCAAATTCCCCTTGCATCTGTACTCTAAAGCTTGTCCACATGAGGTCATTAGAACATGGCCCCCCCAAAACTAGCTGAATTCTTCCCACACACTTACAGGTTTCCTTCTCCTGGGCTCTGCAACAGGTAAGCCACACTTTTGTCTGCTGCTTTCCCTGGAGGGACTTGGCTTTTCGCACTTGTGGTGAGCAACATCTGCTCACTGACGAGTTCAGGAAACTTACGTCCTGTAGTTTATCTGGGGTAATGCTCTTCTTAGTGTGCTGTATCGTTCATAGAAGCACAACTGCTGGAACTTGTTTTTTCACTCTGCTTTTGCTGATTTTGATGAATCAAATTTTAATATATTCAAATTTATTAATCTCCTCTTCCATGGTTTGTGCTTTCAGCATTTTGTATTAAAAAATTCTTTCCCTTTTCCTAATTATAGTCTCCAATGTTTTCTCTTAACATTTTTATATGTTGTTTTTCATACTGAAAATGTAAATAACATGTAATTTGTGTATATGGTGCAAGGCAGAGAAAAGATTATTTTTTCCCATTTGGATTGCCCACTAATTTTCTAAGCACCTTCTAAGTGAGCAGCTTGCCTTTTCTCACAAAATTATATGTAAATATAGGGTCCATTTATGAGTGGATCCATTTCTTATCTTCATATTCTATATTAGTAGTCTACTTACTAGGACTTCTAAATTTATTATGGGAGTGTTCTCCCATCTTACTCAACTGATGTCTTCAAAACTGTCATGGTCTTAGTCTTTTGCTTTTCCATAATAATTCTAAACAATTATTTTGAACAATTCCATGAAAAAACCCTCTTGGAATGCTGACTGAAACTACCTCCAATTTATAGACTAATTTGGGTAAACCTAATATTTCCATGATATTCAAGTCTATGCATCCATTCATGGAAATGTTACTTCTCTCCATTTATTTAGATCTTCCCAAATATTTTTCAATAAAGCTGTAGATTTTTTTTCTATAAAGGTCCTACACCAATCTTTCAAAAGATCTGTTCCTAGGTACATATAGTAGAAACTAGTGGGTGGTTCTACATATCCATTCTCCCTTTCTTCCTGGGCACATGGCTGGGCTACATTTCCCAGCCTCCATTCCAATAGGCATGAGCAACAGGGATGAGTACTCCTTTTCTCCAGAATCCTGGAGCATATGTGCCTCTTCTACTAGCTAGAACTTGCATGTAGTGACCTCATGATAACCATGCAGTAACAACAAAGCCCTAGGGGTAAAGGAATCTAACAGTTTGGGAAAAATGCAGAGACCCCAGAGCAGCCATGGAGGGAGCTGCCTGCCAATTTGATGTAAAACAAGGAGAGGTAAAAACTTAAGAGCTGCGGTTATTGTAGGACTGAAATTTGCCTGGCTGTGTAGATGAAGGTTTCAATTTTTTTCCATTTTATTTTGTTTTATTTCTTTTCAGTGTTCCAGCATTCATTGTTTATGCACCACACCCTGTGCTCCATGTAATACATGCCCTCCTTAATTCCCAGCCCCAGGCTCACCCAACCTCCCCAACCCCCTCCCCTCCAAAACCGTCAGTTTGTTTCTCAGAGTCCACAGTCTCTCATGGTGTGTCTCCCCCTCCAATTTCCCCCAACTAATTTTTTAGCAAGTTTTTTAGACCTTAAAAGTTAGATTAGATTTGTTTGCATGATGATGAACTAGAACAGAATTATAGCCAGAGAGAAGCATGGAGGAATGGATATGAACTGTATTTAGAGGAAGGCAAATAATATGATAGTGGACTAGCAAGTATGATGTCTGAGAGAAAGGAGTAGGAGATGAGGCTAGAAAGAAGGCTGGGCTCACATCATAATGCGACCTCGGACTTACACATTTTTACGTAATGGGAGCCGCTGGAAGTTTTCAACATCATCTTAAATTGTTCTTCGAGAAAAAATAACAAATTACATATTTATTTAGGACCCTCTGGATGCTGAAAAGTCTTACCCTGCGTGCTCAGCAGACAGACACATGCCAAACCGTTTGGTGCCAGTTTCCATGCATCTTCTTATCATAAGCCGATAGCGGGGCTCAAAGACATGAAGTGGACACGGGACTGTGGGGAAGGCCATGGCACACACAAAGATGGGGACATCTCTCGTCAGACTGTTGGGTAAGGGAAAACGTAAACTTAGAAATAGAAGCCATTAGAAATGAAAGGGAATATTAGTCACTGTAACATAGCAAAAGCTAGCCAACCTCAATTTCCTCATATACAACAGAAAACCCTCAGGCCTGTCTTGGTCTTTAGTGGGGAAAGGAAGCCAAGGACCACCTCATGAGAAAGTTCTCAGCTTACGAGATTTTCCTGACAAGCCTGTCGTATTTAATTTGATGAGACAGAACATGCTGAATTGTATTAATTTACTTAGAAAAAGTTACAACTTACAACTATGATAACAAAAAAATTTTAATGACCTTGAGGACATTAAGCTGACTGAAATAAGTCAGAAAAATGAATATTGAATGACCTCAATTACATGTAGAATCTTTAAAAAGAACAAAAGCAAGCTCATAGATAAAGACAAAAGATTGGTGGTTGCCAGAGGCTGAGGTGGGGTGGGGAGGTGGGTGAAACAGATGAAGAGGGTCGAAGGTGCAAGCTTCCAGCTGTAAGTAAATAATGCACAGCATGTTGACTACGGTTAATAATACCGCGCTGCATATTTGAAAGTTGATAAGAGAAGAGATCTTACAAGCTCTCACCACAAGAAAAAAAATTTGCTAACTATGTTTAGTGATGGATGTTAAGACTTAATGTGATGGTCATTTTGCAATATATATAAATATCAAAGCATTATGTTACATACCTGAAATTCATATAATGCTATGCATCAATTTTACCTTAATAAAAATAAATAATAAGAGAAAAAAGTTCTGACGAAAGCAAAAACTACACAGTAGTCAAAGGTAGTGAGTTCTAAATAAAAAGGAGTGGAAGAATTGTAAGACCTCAATAGTTAAAGTTTGCTACAACACACAACTCTGATCACTTTAAAAGACAAAAACAACCCTCAAGCCTATTTCAAGGGATAATCCTATTTTCCCTCCTGTTTCTATATACTGTGCCTTTTCAATTCTGAAAAATTCAGTACCACTTACTTAGATTCAAAAAGCAACTACATAATTTTGGGAAGACACACTTTTTTTTAAGTGGGATCCATACCCAGCATGGGATCCAACATGGGGTTTGAACTCATGACCCCAAGATCAAGACCTGAGCTGAGATCAAAAGTCAGACACTTAACCAATTGAGCCACCCAGGGGTCCCATGAAGACATACTTTTGAAATATTTTTTATGACCCTTTTCAATTAAATTTCCATAATTTTTTTGCAATTGATATTTTTTCTATTTCTAGGTCTAATTTCTCTGCTGAGGGTGGGTACCTGAAATAAAGTTAAGAACGCAAGGATTTCCTTCTTTAATCTGAACTCGAGACCAAGTAACATACAACTTGAGAACTTACTTTGATAGTTCTGTCATTTCTTCATCATAAATTCTCTTCCTATCAGAGAGTTCATCAGATAAGTACTGAAATATTAATTCTTCAGCCAGAATAGTTATATTAAAGTTTCTGCTTGCCAACAACTGTAACAAAAGGAAACGTTAAATAATACCACATGGTAATTAATTCTAGAGGACAAAGCACTCTCTCCCCAGTAGAAACGGTTAAAAAAGAGGGAGAGGGGTAGAGTCTCTCAGAAGACAAAGGGATGGGGGATGGAGAGCCTGGAGGTCAGCCAGCCTGGGGTAGGGACAGGGGCAAGGCAGTTCCTCCCCTCTGAGAAAAGGGCAGGAGAAGGTGTTCATCACCTAGAGGAAGGATGAGTGAATCCCAGCCTGAGCAGCTTCTGCATTCTCAATCAAGTATCACAATGTCAGAGAAGGGAGAGGAAGCATGTAGGATATGTTGCAAAAGAAGAGAAATGGGAAATAATCATCTAAGAAAGTGGAAAATTGAAGCTACTAGAGACACATAGTAAGAATGACTACTAATGTTTTGAGTCTAAGATTTAAGACTGTGAATTTAAACTGAAACCAATCTTCCCAGTTTTGTGGCTTTTGCTCTAGCTTTGCTTTGTTACTTAATCTGGACATGTGCAAGAGGCAGAGTTGACTCTATTTGGATTGGGAAAGGGACAGAGGGACCAAGGAATTCAAGCTGGATGTGAAGGGAAATAGGTGGAACCTGAATTAAAATGTGCCAGGATCAGTGGCTGGAGGGGTCCTATGTAGCTGAGGATCTATTATTATTCTGTGTGTGCATGTGTGTGCACTACTTTTATCTTAGGCCTACAAATTTGCAAATAAGAGCTTTTTTCACTAACATCCTAATATATATCAGGTACCAAATGCAGATGCTTCATATAAATTAAGTTAGGCCTTAAAAGAGCCCTATCTCAGAAGTAATGTTTACAGTGCACCAGTAGAGAAGGGGGTCTCAGAAAGGTTAGGGACTAGCTTCAAGCCACAGTGGCACCAGGACCTCAAGGCTGGTAGTTTTCAATGTGCTGCTATTGCTTTGTTAACTTGCTGCATTCCTCTGCTTGGGCTGCTCTACATACTTCTATCAGTTACATCTGGGCAAGTCCTAGACATCCTGCCTGGTCTCCCTTAAGCTTGTGTGAAACAAGCTATGGGTATTGCTGTCACTAAGAACTAGGAGTTCAACCTCGGGGACACAACTGTGTTTGAGACACTCAGTAACAGAATAACCAGCAGAAACAAGTTTAACTTAATTCGCAGTAAATATTATTAATGACATCTGTATTTTATATGGTTAGTTTATGGCACCATTTTCTTGAAGAGTAATACAATTTGCTTTACTTGGCATTATGTTACCCAAGGCTTCTATGCATACCTAGATAGCTGATGGTTCATGTTTATGATAATATATGTAAGAAAGTCTAAGCTCATGAAGCAGTTTCTGCATCGAAGAAAGAGTGAGTTGTGATTTTTCATTTTACTTAGTTTTGTTATATTCTAATTTCTACACAATGGCAATCTATGCAGAGCTTGCCCTCAATCATTCACTCATTCATTCGTTCATTTAATCTTTCATTCAGCACGGATTTCCTGAACTGCTATGTGTTCTGGTCCCTGGAATTAGAGTGAAAACAAGACAGGAGGTTGTCTTTGTCCCTAAGGAATTTACATGACAGTGTCAACCTCAACACACTGCTTCATCACATAGTCCTATATCAGAAAGTACTGAACACGGAAGTGAACCAAAGGTCTGTGTTACAGTGGTCATAAAGACATGCATTTTACTGTCTGAGAATAAACCACCTCCAGGCCCACTGGCCCAGACAAGCATGGGTGCAACAAGGCAAGAGGCCGAATGCTATTCTACTGTTAACAAGAAGAGAGAGCAAACACAGTGCAGCGGATCTGCAGAGGAACCACCAAAGGAAACTGTCACACAGACTCAAAATCACCCACCATCCTGACATATGGTGCATAGTACAATGATTCATTCCCATGATGAGAGCTGTGAATAACCTAGAGTTTCAGGAGGTATGCAATTTAAAAAAGCAAGTATGTACATAGAATGATTTACAAAGATCTCAATTATAAAAACTTATTTTAACAAATTTTGGCAGTAAACTAAGTTATAATTATTTAAAAATTCACATACGTATAACATCTCCTTTACCATATCAGATTTTTTAATTTAAAGATTTTATTTATTTATTTGACAGACAGAGATTACAAGTAGGCAGAGAAGCAGGCAGAGAGAGAGGAGGAAACAGGCTCCCTGCTGAGCAGAGAGCCCGATGGGGGCTCAATCCCAGGACCCTGGAATCACGACCTGAGCCGAAGGCAGAGGCTTTAACCCACTGAACCACCCAGACGCCCTACCATATCAAATTTAAAATTAATTTTACTGGACATTTGTTTTAAAAAAACACTTAATCCCTGGGCGCCTGGGTGGCTCAGTTGGTGAGGCATCTGACTCTGATTTCAGCTCAGGTCATGATCTTAGGGTCTTGAGATTAAGCCCCACATCAGATTCCATGCTCAGCGGGGAGTCTGCTTGAGACTCTCTCTCCCTCCACTCTCCTCCCCCAGCTTACACCCGCACAAGCACACACACTCTTTTTCCGTCTCTAAAAATAGACAAATAAATCTTTAAAACACCACTTTGTCCTACTTAAAATATATTGAGTATAATCTCTAGAAGTAATTAAGGAAAATATTATTAGTATTATTTTATAGATTAAACTGCCCCCCCAAGAAGTTAAATAACTTGCTTCATGGAAGGTTAGTGGCACCAGAGCCCAAGAGAGTTGATACATATCACAATTTGAAAAGTTGATCAGAAAGCCTTTAAAAGCTTTTAAGTGTTATTTTTTTCTATTTACCATACCTAAGGAATGGATTTGGCAGTTTATTTTTGAGTTAGACATAACTAAATAGCTTCCCTCCATGGAATCTCGAGTGTTACTGGCTTTGATTACAGACAAAAGACACAACTGATAACACACCAAAACAATCTCCTAGTAGTCAAAACTGATCAAGTCTTTGATCCTATGCAAAACTGAGTACTACAATATGACTTCCCCTTGAGATGAGATAAAGGACAGAATCCTTAGCACATATTAAGTGTGCCATAATGTTATCTCATCCCTTTATGATTAACACCTGGTGAGAACTCAATAATGTTATCTCAACTATTTATAACATTGTAGGAGCTCCAATTACATTACCCGTTTTCAATGTATCTCAACTATAATTCATGCCTAAAAATTTCCCTCAAGTTTAACTGCTTCTTTGTCTAAACTTCCTTTTTCTACTTTTTGAAAAATCAGAGAGGAAAAGACCTCTCTTTGGAGAAATCCAACTTTCTTTAGTAAATGGGTCGTATAAGCAAAGCCAACCCCAGAAATGAGCATCTACTAGGGATGAGAAGAGGGGCCAAATGGTCCTGTTGTTTCAGAAGAAATACTTACTTCTGAGAGTTTTTCTTTACACAGCGGACAGTGTGGGGCGTGGTCAAGGCAGCGCTCAAGGCATTTCAGGCAAAACATATGTCCACATGGTGTAGTAACAGGCTCAAAGAGCAACCTGGAAAATATATCTGAGTTTTTAGCTGAAAATGTCCAAAAGAGATCTACAAATAATCTATTTATTTTCAAAGAATTCCTTAAGACAATTCCCTCATGACTACAGAAATTACTGATATCCATTTTCCATTGAGATTTTCCTTATCAAATTTTTAGAAAATAAATCACTCATTACTAAGATATACATAATTTCTCTGATAATAAAAAGCCCATTATGGTTAGGATATCCAATTCAGAAAGGATGAGTTTTCAAAGAGTTGCACAGGTTCTCTGTCATCCTACCTCATGCAAAGGGCACACTCAAAGTCAGTTACATCTATGGAGAGCTCTGGACTTTCTCCTACGTTAGAGGTCATGTTCATTTGAGGTGAGGAATCTGCCTCTGAAAAAGTTTAAAATGCTATTATTAACATTGCTCACCTGGACAAGAACATGCAGCAACTGTATTTCCTCTGGCTAAAATGTGTCACACCAATATAATAAATTATGCTGGGTAGGATATTTCCTATCAGATTAACCATACACAACAATAATTTATCTGGACCGTAAGCATGAATAAAAGTTAAAGTTATAACTAAATTTTCCCTATTTCTGACTATGAAGTCTGTGTAGGCTTCGTCATCTTAAACTGTTCTATCATCATAAAGCTGATCTATTCTTTTCATTATTCATTTTAAACTATCTGTATAATTTTTTTTAATATACTGAATATTAACTAACAGTCTATCACTCTGGAGTCATACAACTCCATGACAAAATCACTTGCTGACCTTTCTTGGGTACTTTCCCAGGGCCATTCAGCTCATGCATGTCCTCCAAATCATCTGGAAATTGTCTCTTTAAACCGGTGCTGGGTGCTACTGGAAGGATGCTCTCTAATACTTTTTTATCCTCTTCAAAGTGCAGACCCAGTATAAAATACAAAACTGAAGAATAGGTATTTCTAAACACATCAGATTTCTCAGATGCATTCTGTTTAAATAGGAAAAAAGAATCCTGAGTATTAAGAAATCATAGCATAACAGAAAACAATAATCCCGTAGTGGCCTTTCTTAGAAATCTCTGGAAAAAAGAGGGCTTATGCTCTTCCTTCATGATAGGTTTCATCTGTTAACTTTGAAGATGAGCTTTACACTTCCCACGGTAAAAAAAAAAAAATTCTTTTTGAGACAGATCAACTGAAATCAATCTTTGTATATTCAAATCACCCTTTTGCTTTCTTTTCTCCAAACCAAAATAAACGAGAGTCTCCTGATGCCTGGGGTTCTCAACGTGTGATGTCCTGAATGCTTCTACATGTTTCTTTCAATCGTTTTCATGACTTCCACCAACTTCCTTCAAAAGGTTCAACTTTCAGGCTGAGGAGCTAGAAACTGGTCTTGAGAAGTACTTCCAACTAACATAATGCCACAATCTGAATAACTTATAAGTGTTCAAAATTACGAATTACGTAAAGGTTAATCAAGATAATACTGACAAACACACGTGCTTCCTTACCTTAGAACCCCCAGCACTGCTGCCTTCTTCCAGAGGCTGGGCGTTTACGTGGCTGGCACACTGAGCCTTTTGCCTGCTGTTCAATATTCTGCTTTGGATGGAAGATGTCAAATTCTGATGTGCGTTTTCTGAAGCTGGAAAAAATACCTCACACATTACCTATAAAATTTCCAAGAAGAAAAAAAGTATTTTAAAACTCTTGAAAAATACATAATATGCCTTAGAGATCCAAAGGAAACTATAAGGCCAAGGAGACCTAACACACTGAAAAGAATAAACTACCATATTCCAACTGCCACTATGTCAAAACTCAAGTTTCTGAAACCATAAAGCATTGATTAGGCATGTTATCTACCAGTGCCTTCCCAGCTTAGCCTTACCGATTATAAAATATGAACATTATCATTTCTTTCTTCTGGGTCCTTACACACCTGCTACAGAAAATCACCCCTAAAAGTCTCATGATTAAGAGAGAAAATTAGAGGTGCAAAGGTTGCAAGGATCCTAAATTAAATTCGAGTTGTGATCACACACAGGACTGAGATATTTCTAGAACACCGCTCAACGTACAAGAGAACCACAAGAGCCACCCAGTAAAGAACTTTAAAGGGAGACCAAGTGAAGAGCCATAATTCTAGTTCAAGAGCCATGAACTAGCCTTTGGTGGTGGTGGGAAGTAACTGCCAGTCACTTGATGGTCCTGCCAAACCTCATGGACTCAGCTGAATCCAAAGACTAAGAGAGGTACAAAGGAGAAACAGAAACGTAATAAAGAACCTGCCACTGTTCTTCATGTGACAGGTCCGTGCATCCGCACCCATGACCCCTGTATAAAGAAGGAACAGCACTCAGCAGGGACATCAGTGTCCCCAGCAATGGCTCTGAGGGGCTCCAGTAAAGCAGCAGAAGTCTGTCCAGGAGATGACCGCATTTCATGGGCATCAACAGGCTGGCAGTGTTTGGGCACTGAGATAGAAGAAACCTACCACTCACAGAATGCTACAGGGAGAAAATATCACCCACAAAGACAAGAAGCACCAGACCTGGACTGTGGCACTGAGACCTTTGTAAATCTGCTTAATTTTGAGCTCAGGCTGAATTTCTTAAGCTGTTATGAGGAGCAGTTGAGATATGTTTTAAGGTTCCTGTGAAATTTGCAGGTGGGACAAAGCAGTCAGGGATGGAAGAGCCGATGTTAAGATTTAGTATTATTTTGACAAGTTGAAACAATGGCCAAAACCCATAAGTGATCATTTGACAGCATTAAGAAAGACCAATGCACTGCACAATACAAGGATAAAAAGTATTGCTAGAAGGTTCTCACAGAAAACAAAAAAAGATCTAGGTGTTTGGGCTAACTACAGTTCTTACAGGAGCCAACAGTGTGATGGTATTAGCCTAAAAAAAACCAAACACAAACAAAAAAACATACCTCATGGTATGAACACAAGGGAAGGTAAAATTTCCCCCATCTGTTGCTGTCAGATGTGGATGCTGGGGGACACGAGAATGCATCCAGAGGAGGAAACCTTATAACCTTGTAACTATTATAAGGGCTCTTAAACATAGGGTGGATTCCCACAGTAAATGTGACTCAGTGACCTATAATACGACTGGGTTAAAGACCTGAATACGAGAAAAGATATTTCTGCATCATGCTGGTGAATCTTGGCTGAGAATTTCAAGTCAAGCTTTCCAGCTGAACTGGTATATTTTGTATATTATCACAATGTCTTTTATAGGGCTCCTATACAAACGGTAACGCTTGAAATTACAGCTCTAAGAAAACTCACTCTGCTTCCCCTAGCCTCACACATCAACCCTGCCTCCTTAGCTCATGTCATTACTTCAGTAGAACGGGGAGCTGTACGAGTGCTATCTCATGATACGTAGTGCTTTATCCCTGGATGAACATTATCAAACGTGTGAAACTCATCATTAATCCCGTGTGTTTTTAAATCACATTGTCATGAATATTCAGAACTATATTTTTTGTTTATCTGACATGCAGGAGTTACTCAGCATGGACATCAAGGCTATAAATGAGACTTAAGAAAGAAATTTGTTTAAAGAAAAATCACACCTTCTGTGCTTCTTTCTTCACTGAGTTACATTCAGGATTTAAAGCAAGGCAGTAGAGAAACTCCTTTAATGCTTCCTTACTTCTTCCCAATCCAGAAAGAGCCTGAGCCTTCATATGATGTCCCTGGATTCATCAAAAGACAAGATATACACTTTTTAAAACTGTGATAATATACTTGCATACAAAGGGCCCCAGAAAAAAATCATTAGAACTACTGAATTTTCATATCAGCTAGAAAAAACAAAAACCCACCAGGAATGGCTCCAGGTCTACTACCCTGGAATGGAGCAAATCCAAGTATTTCATAAACACAATCTATAAACGGAACACAGAAGTCACCAGACCAGGAATTTGAGCCCAAGGCAGTTTCAAGGGCCATGTTAAGTAAGAGAGAAGTGGCTGTCTACCAATTTTAAAGATACTCAGTCATCACAGATCACAACCATGTTCCTGTGTTTCAGGAGGATAGTCTTGTGAGAGAAGACCAATATGACCAGAAATAGCTATAACACAAAGCATAATATACAAAATACTACAACAGAAATAAACAAAATACAATACGGATCAGTATTTTCCACCAGCAGGTTTGTTTGTTTTTTTGGTGAATGCAGTGTTTTCTTAAATCATTGTAAATACTGTAATTTGTTTTGTCAGTTCATATATTTCCATTTGGGTCAGTCCTGATCATGCATTTTAGTCTTTTTCTTCTTTATCTTATTGAATTTTTTTCTTGTTAGTCCCTGTTTCTTCATTCTTATTTTTAAAAAGATGTGCTGTTTCCAACTGGTTTTGTCTCACGTTGAGTCAGACCCTTGACTTCATAGAGACTTCATTGCCGAATGGAAGACTTTTTGGGTCCTTCATCTACGTGAGGGGGATCTATTTGAGAGTTTTGATTTTCAGGTATATGGTAGGGAAACCAAGCCTTAGGCTGGAAGCCCCATGTATCAGGATTTAGAGGGGCTTACTCGGGGGGCCGGGGGACCTCCTGCATGCATTGGCAGCCACACTTTTCTCAAGCAGTCTGTCCAAATTCTTTGCAGGAGGGGGGGGTGGGGCAATATGATTTTTTTTTTTTTTTTGGCCCTACTACTGCTCTGCATGGCGGGTGAACTGGTATGTCAAGCAAACCACCTTTCTCATTCCTTTCCCAAGAGCTTAAACTGAATCTTCTCTGGAGTTTGTATTAGGACATGGGCTCAGCTCCCATTTGAACTATAATGTTCTCTGCTTTTTCGTCCACTTACCTGCATCCCAAAAATCTGCTGAGCTTTCTCATCCCATAAATATTCCCTATTCTCTTCCGTGGTAGACTTATACTTGCTTATACCTTCTTGCTGCCACAGTTTTATGGAGGTGTAATTTATATATAATAAAATTCACCAATTTTAAATGTACAATATAGGATTTTTGACAAACGTACACAGTGTGTAAGTACAACCACAATCATGATGTAGCACATTTCCATCACCCCAGAATGTTCTCATATGCTCTTCAAAGTCAATCCTCACTTCTCTCCAAGTCTAAGAACCACTGATCAGTCACTACAGTTTTGCTTTTTTGAGAATTTCATTTAATGAAATCACACATGTATTTGTGTGCCTTCCTTCACTTTTAACGCCATGCTTCTGAGATTCATCCACATTGCTGAACGGATCGACACTTCATTATTCCCTGTTACCAAGTAGGTGCCAGTGAATGATTATACTAAAATCTGTTTATTTTATATTTTTTAATTTTTAAAAAGAAATATTACTAGTTTCATAGTACTTCATTCAGGCAAGTGAATCATATGGTGAACCAGAAATTTTTAAGCTACCTGACATTTGCTGACCATTAACCTTACTCAGATGGCAGTTATGATAGGTAATGTACATAGTACAGCTCACCTTGTTCATCCCCTCAAAATGTCTCAGGAATGAGACATTTTGAGTTAAAGCAAACAGGAAAAAAAAATACTGTCATGAAGCCCAAAACTAAGAATTTAACCTCCTCCAAATGATAGCTGAATTCGTTTTTTAATCCAGATTTATTGAGGAACAACTGACAAATATAAATGTATATAAAATGTAGCATCCATCATGATGATTTGATATACACATACATACTGAAATGATTCCCACAATCAAGGTAATTACACACCCACCACCTCACATACTTAACTTCTTTCCTTTCTTCCTTCCTTCCCTCCTTCTTTTGCAGTGAGGATCTACTCTTGAAAAATTTCAAGTATGTAATCCTGCATTATTAGTTATAGTCACCATGCTGTATATTGGATCCTCAAAATCTTCGTACCCTTTGACTTACATCTCCCCATATTCCCCTCCCTCCAGGCCCTGGCAATCACTGTTCTGTTCTGTTTCTATGAAATCACTTTTTGTTTGACAAATACTATACAGTATTTATCTCCTGTCTGGCTTCTTTCACTTAGCACAGTACCTGCCAGATTCATCCACATTGTTGGAAATAACAGAATTTCCTTCTTTTTAAAGGCTGAATAATATTCCTCTCTCTCTCTCTCTCTCTCTCTCTGTGTGTGTGTGTGTGTGTGTGTGTGTGTGTGTGTATCACACCTTCTTAAACTGCCCACACTTAGGTTGTTTCCATATCTTGGGTACCGGGAATAATGCCATAATGAACATGGGAGTGTAGCTATCTGTTAACTGAGTGTAGCTATACTGACTTCATTCCTCTATATACCTAGAAGTGGGACTACCGGATCATATGGTAGTTCCATTTTTTACCTGAGGAGGGGCTGCATACAGTTTTCCATAATGGCTGTACCGATTTACATTCTCACTAACAGAAGACAAGGGTATCCTTTCCCCCACATCACTGCCCACATTTGTTATCCCTTGTCTTTTTGATACTAGCCATCCTAACAAGTTGTGAGGTGCTAGCTCATTGCGGTATTGATTTGCATCTTTGATTAGTGATGTTGAGCACCTTTTCATGGACCTATTTGTTATTTGTAGATCTTCTTTGGAAAAAATGTCTAGTCAGGACCTTTGTCTATCTCACTATTCAATTTTTGCTATGGAGTTGGAGGAGTTCTTCATATATTCTGGATATTAGTCCATTCTCAGACATATGGTTTGCAAATATTGTCTCCCATTCCATTGCTTACCTTTTTAGTTTATTAATTGTTTGCTGTGCAGAAACTTTTAGTTTGATACACTCCTACTTGTTTATTTTAGCTTTTGGTACCTGTGCTTTTGGGATCACATCCAAAAACATTGCCAAGGCCAATCTCAAGGAGATTTTTCCCTGTTTTCTTCTAGGAGTTTCACAGTTTCAGGTTTTACATTTAAGTCTTTAAACCAAGCACATTTTTGTGGTATAAGGTAGGAGCCCAGTTTCATTCTTTTGCATATGGATAGCCGGTTTTCCTAACACCATTTATTGAAGAAATCCTTTTCTCACTTTATGTTCTTGGCACCTTGGTATAAGATTAGTTGATTACATACGCATAGGTGTATTTATAGCTTTAAATTTTGTTTTCTTGGTCTGTGTGGCTATTTTTATGCCAGTACCATACTGTTTTGCTTGCTGTAACTTTCAACATAATTTGAAATCAGGAAGCGTGATGCTTCCAGCTCTGTTCTTCTTTCTCAAGATTGCTCTGGCTATTAAGGATCTTTTGTGCTTCCCTATGAATTTTAGAATAGTTTTTTCTACTTCCTTGAAAAATCCCATTGGAATTTTTAAAGGAATTACATTGACTCTGTAGATTGCTTTGAGCAGTATGGACAATTTAACATCAACTCTCCCAATCTAAGAACACAGGATACTTTTCCATTTATTTGCTTCTTCAACTTCTTTCAATGTCTTATGGTTTTCAGTATACAGGTCTTTCAACTCTTTGGCTAAATTTTTTGCTATTTTTTTTTTATTCTTGATGTTATTGTAAATGGGACTACTTTCTAAATTTCTCTTCAGATAGTCTGTTGTTAGTGTATTGGAATGCTGATTTTGTGTCCTGCAACTTTAGAGAATACATTGATTAGTTCCAACAGTTTTTTGGTTGAGTATTCAGGGTTTTCTATATATAAACCATATCATTTGCAAGCAGATAATTTTACTTCTTCCTTTCTGATTGGATACTTTTTATTTTTTCCCTTTTCTTGCCAAATTGCTGTGGTGAGGACTTCTCCAGTATTATGTTGAACAGAAGTGGTAAGAGAGGGCATTCTTATCTTATCCCTGATCTTAGAGGAAAGGCTTTTAATTTTTTACTGTTGAGTATGATGTTAGCTGTGGGATTGCACATATAACTTTAATTATGTTGAAGAATATTCCTTCTACACCTAATTCATTGACAGTTTTTATCTGATAGGATGTTGAATTATGTCAAATATTTTTTCTGCATCTATTGAGATGACCATAAGATTTTTATTCTTCATTATGTTAATGTGGTGTATCACATTGATTACTTTGCAACAGTGGAATCATCCTTGCATCCCAGCAATAATCCACTTGATCATGGTATACAATTCTTTTAAGATGTTCCTGAATTCTGTTTGCTAGTATTTTGTTGAGGGTTTTGCATCTATGTTCATCAGAGATACTGGCCTACAATTTCCTTTCTTGGAGTGTCCTTATGTGGATTCAGGATAAAGGTAATGTTGGCCTCATAAAATGAGTCTGGAAGTGTTCCTTCCTCTTGAGTTCTTTGAAGAGTTCGAGACAGACTGGTATTAGTTCTTCTTTAAATGTTTGGTAGAATTTACCTGTGAAACCATTTGTCCTGGGCTTTTATTTTTTGGGAGATTTTGATTACTGATTCAATCTCCTTGCTCATTACTGGTCTGTTCAGATTTTTTATATTTTCATAAGTCTTAGTAAGTTGTACGTTTCCAGGAATTTACGCCCATTCTTTGAAGTTATGTCAATTGCTGGCATATAATTATTCAAAGTCCTTTACAATCCTTTGTATTTCTGTGGCATCAGATGTAATGCTTCCTCCATTTATAATTTCATTCTTTTGAGTCATCTTTTTTTCTTAGTCTAGCAGAAGGTGTGTCAGTTTTGTTTATCTTTTCAAGAAACCAATTCGTAGTTTCATGGATCATTTCTGTTGTCTTTCTAGTCTCTATTTTGTTTCTGCTCTAATTTTTATTCCT